CAGAGCGCCGCTCTCTCGCGGTACTTCTTTCGGGAGAAATTTCCCGTTTTTACGCGCTCTATCGCGTGCAAACAAGCCTGTGGGAGCCTCGGCAGCCAGGTAAATCGCCCGGCGCATCTATTATTCCGTCAGCCGTGCTGCGCAGTCAAGGAAATCTCGGAATTATAACGAGAATGTCCGCCGGCAAAATCTCATCGCATTGCCCCCGAATCATTCGCGAGTTTGATACTTTCTACGCAGAGACACGGCGAGACGAAGAGCTATTGTTAGCTGATATTCGTATTCAGATGTAAATAATTTTGCCAACTATACTTTAACATTCTAGAGTTTGAGTATCCGCAATTAATTTTAGAAAAAGTCGTGAAAAAATAATATAATAACTTTGATACTGATATCAAATGTTACACTTTCTCTTTCTCTTCGTCTTATCGGTAATTTTTATTATTTTATATATTATTAATATAATCTCGCATTCAAACGCGTTTCACGAGACTATTCTCGCCTTACGCTTACGTTATATTTCATAAATTTTCTGGATCAAACAACTTTGTTCCAATTGCACAACAGGTTCCAACAAACTTTCTTTCAGCAATCTCTTCTTCGCGATGGAACACTATCAAAACTAAAACTTATATAAAATAAAATTATATAAAAAAGTTTATTCGCGAGGTAAACCGTCTACCGAGAACAAGAATGACGGCGAGGAAAAGACGGGGGAAAAGATATCGGAGTCGAACTTACCGCCGACATCTGCGGACGCGCGGTTTCAACTTGGGCAACGATCGCTCGCTCCTTTATTCCGCCGCGTTATTCCAGCGGGGCAACGGCGAGCGGAATTTTACGTTTACGACTACGCTCGCTTTCGTTCACGGAAATCCGTTGCATTACAGAATGCCAGAGCCGATATTCGCCGACTGTATTTTACGCGGCGGGAGAAACTCAGTCGCAAGGGAGAAGAGAGAAAGATACGATGGATAAAGGGGTGATACAGGGAGTGAAATGCCGATAAACGAGTCTGCAAGCGCAAAGACCCAGCTGGCTGCGCGAAGGAGCAGTCGTACGACTAAAACGCCAAGCAGGGAAAAATGAGGAGAGGAAGA